CAGACTTGTCTGCTGTAGTGTTCGTGTAGTTAAACCTATCAAGTTTTTAAATATGATTTAGCAACTGCCAGTAATTTATATGGTGCTCATAAGCATGATTTACCAGCACATACACTAATATGCATTGATTTTCTTACTGCTGTGTCACATTAATCAACATGAGTATGGGTGGTCTAAATAATGGCAGTTAAAGTGAAACCAGGTCCAGATGTGCCTAACTAGTCTGTAGTTGCAACTATAATTGTATAATTTAAATGTAATTTCTTGTTAGGAACTTAGGAAAGTAGAATGCTTCCTTTCATCTGACAATTTGCATGTTGAAACTAAATAGTGTAGTCAATATTTATTAATTTATTCTTTTAGCCCATTATGTCGAAAAAAGAAAATGGGGCACAGGGACGCAAAAGACGTGCACAGTTTGCAGCTTCGATGGTGGAGTCAAGCAAATTGATGAGAGCTTTCCTTGCCAGCATCTGTTCCTTTTGATGGTAGCAAAGAGGCCAAAGTGCAAGATTGTGAACATGCTATTTCATTTGAAAAAAAGAAAACACTGAACAAACTGTTCTCTATCCTGTTGAAAGCTACAATAATAATAAACAAGAGGATTTCACTTTGTCAGAAACAAATCCACAGAATAGTGTTGCTAAGCTAAAAGATGATGACCTAATAAATATTTTAACACACAAGGATATTGGATAATGGATTTATGTTTGATACAACAGACTCAGCAGTTGTAATACATGCACATCGCACAGAGATTGTTAAAGTTGAAGCACATGAATTTCATCATAAAGAAGGTCCATTTGATGCCAAAGATAAGCGTTCTATGACTGCATTTTGGTTCAAATGATGCCTTCTGAATGGACAAGAAGTCAATCGTTCCTGGTTGGTGTATTCACCTCTACATAAAACAGCATACTGTTTTTGTTGTCTTCTTTTTTATATACATGAATGACATCAGATAGTCGGTCTGCTTTCAAAACTCGGGGTGGATTCTCTAAGTGGAAAAAAATTTAAAAGTTAAGTGCCCATGAAAATAGTGACAGTTATCGTGAGTCCTTTGCTGCTTGAAAAGAAACTGAGCGCCGAATTCGTCTTCAAAGTGGCATTGATGAAGAGCTGAAAAGGCAAATTCAGCAAGAACAAATACATGGAGATATGTACTGCGATGGTTGCTGGATTGTACACAATATTTAGCTTCTCAGAATCCTGCATTTCGTGGTCATACTGAGGACATAACCTCAAACGAAAAACCTGGATATTTCCTGTCAATTTTGCTGTTATTATCAAAGGATGATCCAGTAATGAGAGAGCATTTAGAACGTGGTAAAAACAAGCAAACGTCAACATCTTATCTTTCTCCTGAAATCCCAAATGAGTTTATAAATCTCATGGCTTCACATGGGCGAAATTATTGTTTGTCAGCAATTCGTGGAAACAAATACTATGGTATTCTCTTTGATTCCACACCTGATTTAGCCCATCGTGAGCAATTGGCCCAAGTGATTCAGTTTGTTTACATTGACTTTAAGACAAGAAAAGTAGAAATCAAAGAGACATTTATTGACTTTATACAGATAAATGGAAAAGACGCTCCCAATATTGAGAAAACAATAAGCACAAAATTAGAAGCGGGTGGAATTTTATTGAGTGATTGTTGTTCACAATGTTATGATAATGCTGCTGTCATGTCAGGTCATCTGTCAGACGTTCAACAAAAATCCAAAAGCAGTGTTTATAAACTGTGACAACCATAGTTTGAACTTAGCATGTATTTATGCTGCAAGTCAGGAAACAACAGTTATTACCTTTTTTGGTATACTTGAAGCCATTTATAATTTCTTTG